AGATACAACTTTTCACAGAGATTATTTTTTCTGTATATTTCCTGCCGGGGTTCTATCTCACAGTAACTGTTCTTGTACTGTTAAGCTATATTTAGAATATTATTCATAATCTCCTATACTACCAGATTCCCGCTATTAGAATAAGCCAGTAATCTCTATTTAATTAATAGACTAATATATGTTTTATGGCCTCCGCCAGGGCTTTGATCCGTGAAGGCTTTGAACAGATAATATTCTTCTAGATATATCTAAGCTTCAGACTGATACAATAAAATACAGCTCAAATAGGGCTACATAATGTTCTAAGTAATGTTTCCCCACGGCCCTATGTTAATACTGTATTTAAAGTATGTGAATAAAGTTAAGAAATATCCTTTTCTTAGTCTAGAGAAAGCAGTTAAGGAGATAGCTTATTAAGTAAATATATTCTTAAAAATATATTCTGATATCAAATACTAGTCTCTCCTAATTAGAGATTATCTAGGGTTTAAGGCTTTTCAGGGTACAGAGAACCACTATATACTGTTAAATATAATCAACCAAAAGATAACTTGAAATTTGAGTATAAGTCACCTATAGTACCTTTCTACAGCCACAGCTAAATTACTTTATAAAACAGTATATAATTCCTCTGGCCAGAGAAACAGAGTTAATATTTAATAAATATTTTAGCTAATCCCAAGATTCATAACTAACCTTTAGTATACAGTAGTCACCCAGGCTAATAATTAAATACTTGACTCTTATAAAATAAAAATTCTATTATTTTACCAGTAAAGTCCTTTATATCATCACATGCCTATTAACCCTTGTTTTTCTAGGAAAGCAAGTATATTGTAATACTGAATGGCTTAATATATCAGTAAACTATATTCTGGATATTTTCGGAGTAATAACCATATTAAAATATTAGCCATCTATCCTCTAACCTGTTGTTTACTGGTTTTTAGAGCCTACTTAAAAACTCAGAAAGTATATGCAAGTAGCACAACAGATTATCCAGCAGAAAATAAAGAGGCAGCAACATAAATACAAGTCCAGGCAGCTAGATATACTGGACTAGCTTCACAAAGTCAGAGACAATTATTACTTGGATATAATTATAGTATAAATCAGCTTGACACTGGTGATAATCCATACCACCTCTAATTTTTTTATTAATATTATTTACAATCTCACAGTGAATCCGCAGTATCTTCCTTCTCTGTAAGAAGAGATCTAATTAGTATTAAAAATAAATAATATATTTCACAAGACTAGTTTAACCAAGATAAAGCTCCTGGATAGCATGGTTAAGAAGAGCTAATAGTTAAATCTACCAGGCCTGAGTGTATAAATCCTTGCTTATTAAATTAATTATTATTATTTTCAACCACATCACGCTCAGCCGCATTAGAGATAATACTGATTTTATAATAAGTACTTAGCTTTGCTACACTGCTACACTATAAAAAAAATTACACTCTCAGATATAACAGTCATTCCAAAGAATACCAGTCTCATTATCTCCGCCCATACTATGCAAAACAAGAGTATATATTTAAATACACATACTTATAATAGATACTAGTTTTATCAGAAGCAGCAAGAACCAGAATATAAAAACAAACACCAGTTGGTGATGATAAGTATAGAGTATTATAGTTTTAAGTATAATATACACACCTGTCCCAGTCAGTTCTTCACAACAAATAAGATTAAAATTCTTTTTATCCATATTATTTTGAAATATGATATCCATTTCCCCAATAGACAATCCCGCCCTGCTAATTAGGAGATTAGACAGGACCTAGTTTATAATCAAATTATACAAATCTTATTCAGGATACAGTAGGCCGCTTTTAATCTGCCGCCCCAGTATATTTTATAATAAGCTCAGATAGAAAAGATAGCCTGATTAAGTATATAACAATAATAGATGGTAGCAGAATATATAGTAAAGTATCTCTAAAAAACAGGCCGCAGCCAAGTAATCATATCCAGTAAAAGTAATAGCCAAATAATAACAGCTAAAAACACCTGTAAAATCAATATTACTCCACAAAAATCAGAGTATTAATACAAACAACTACTAAACTCAATGTCTTTCGGGGCGGAGAATTAAGAATATAACTCTCAATCTAAGAGAATAAAGATCTTAGCAGTAATTTTATTAATAAAGTGATTATAGATATAAAAGGCTACCAAATAAGAGCAAGACTGATAACTTTTTTCTTTAAACTATTAATCTCTATTAATCTTATATATTATAATACTGTGATAGATCCGCTAAACCAACTTATTATAAATTTAAATCAGAAGATAATAATCTGGCAGTGATTCATGCCCTAGATATTATAAATATTATATAGCTGTGATAATTGTCTCTTCTCTTAATTATATACTAATATAATATTCTAAAACTATGACAATTAACTTTTTAATACAAAAGCTATTTATTTATTTACCTGCTCCAGTTCAACAGACTATTATTATATCTTTATATTTATCTTGTGGCCTGTATTCTCTTTAGCTTTAGATTCTTAGTCTTTATTATATTTCAGTATAGTAGTTAAGTTTTGTTCTCTTCAGACACTGGGATTAGATTTATTAAGACTGATCTTACTAATGACTAGAAGTCATATGATAATAATAGATATAGATATTTAGAATATAAGATGGTTCTCCATAGACCAGATACAGATATTAAACCAGATTACCCAGCCGCCAACCACCTGTACTACTGAATAATACCAGGCTAAGTTACTGAGGAGCATAGCAGCACAAAGAAAACGCCATAGACATTCATTATTAAAGACACGCAAAACAACCGCCTCCATAAATATAAAATACAGCCACGCGCCGCCTAACTCTGTGTATAAGAATTCTATCTCTAATAAAAAAAACACCTTGCCACGGGTCATACTACTCATATAAACAGTTAGATAAAAGAGTAACTACAGGACACCGCACAGAACAATTATTAGTTCTATTATTATCAAAACAAGGCAGTAAATATAAAATATGATTATTAGACCATAGACGAGCAATAGCAGCCACATTGCTGAGGATTAACAGGTCAAATAGGATCCAGAAGAAGTCAGAGAAAGCAAAAACTATTACTATAAGACTTGAGATGTAAAGAGAGAAGCCAAAATTAAAAATATACTAATCTTTCGTGCTCAACACTATAACAAGTTAAGAGATTTAGAAAATCTCTTGTTACCAGGGCTTTTGAAGCCTACCACTCTTCTATATAAATTCTCACGTGAGGGGGTACCTTTCAATATTAGGACTTAAACAGCAAAGTTACAGTAGTAGATATTAGTAGACTATAGAAGCACTAACCGAAATCACCCTGCAAGCAACGGCTTGTGGCTGAAAGTAGTATTATTTATTAGGATTCTGCTCATTGCTCAGTTGATCTTCGGACTGGTAATATACCAAACAATCAGTATACACTGTCGGAAGCCCGGAATTGTTACTAGTAGATTAGATTTCAATATCACTTCGGGGATAATTTCTTGCCCGGATTTCACACTCCCTCACTAGTTACATACAGTAAGTAACAACATATTACTAGTGCGAAACCAGATATCGGAGACACCCAATACCACGCTAACACTAGTTACTAACTTTAGCAAGGTTAGGCGTTGTCTGCGGCGCTACTTAGGTTTAGCCAGATATAGAATCGTCCGATCCGTCCTCACTGAGTTTTGATACTCCAGCCAATTGAGTGCCACTGCTTCTATCGAACCCATATAATGGAACTTCGAACGAACTTCGCCCTAGTAAGAACCAACGCTGACCCCCCTGTACGCGTTCGAGTTCCAGAGCGCGGTGGATCGCTCATTTATTCTCGGTAAGTTCAACCCAATGACCGCGAGCTGGAGCGGGTCACAGCTCGCTTGAAGATAGTACGACAAGTAATACGAGTCTCCGAGACTCCCGAAATATGGACAGGTGGGATTGGACCAGTGTCTCAATCTATGAGATACCAATCGTAGCCTAAGGATAGGGGGACGAATCCGGCCACCTTGCTATACCCATCTCCTACCTCCGTGTATCTCCTCCACTCCATGGGTGAAAACTAAAACGCACTTAGGGAGTCGCCGACTGGTTGAAAATGAACTTAGCCCATCAAGGACTTTATATGCCGCATTCCCCTTAAATGAAAATCTCCGTTCTTCATGATAACACTCATTCAATCGCTATTTAGGAGCGAAGACAATGTTCCTAGCGAGATATAATTGGCTTCCTTGGTTGGCTTCGGATGCTATGCCGCTTGCAAGCACAGTCATCTATGTGGCTATCATTACTAGCATAGTAGTTGTTTTGTTCCATCGTGTCGTCAAGCCCCAAAATAACAAGAAGCCGGCAACCAGAAGTCAAAACACCCTCCCTCCTGAGCTTCGCTGGTCTGTCGCCCAGCTTGCACATTCCTTTTTCACAGCACAGTTCGACTTCATAAAAGAGGGTTTTAGGGTGACCGGCTCTAAAGCTTTCAGATTTCAACTCCGAAAAAATCAAGTAATTGTGGTATCAGGCGATGAGGCAAGACGTACTTTCTTTGGAGCGAAAAGCCTGAACCTCTACGAAGGTTTTCAGGTACTCATTGGTACTGTATGTAACCCTTCCACGTACTTCAGTTAATGGAACTCTATCAGACTATTATCGTCACTGACCTTTCTTTTCTTCTGCTTTTAGATCCCTACAGGTCTCAATCCTCGGGTACTCCATGGTATATACAAGCGATTGAATAATCTTCAGCGACCCGATAATCTCCAGAATTGTATGTTATTACTCCCCGAGGGCTCTGGACACACCGATTTTATCAGTATGTCTGACCAGCTTATATTGCTGCAGTACTTCCACAATTGATTACAGACTGTCACCAAAAGATGAATTCATGGGACAATCTCATCATAGACCCATGCGCCAGTTTACACGACGTAAATTTACTACATACCTGCTGTTCTGAACATGGTCTTTATTAATCTTTCTTTAAGGTTACTTTTCAGATGATCATCCGCGCCGTTACCTCCTATGAAGTTGCAGAAGATACCAGGCTTGTATCCCGTTTAAAATACTTTTATGATATTATTGATGCCTCGGTAAAGCCCTTGCACTTATGGGCTTGGGTACCCGGTCTTGCAACTTTCTACAAGCTGCGTGCCTCTATGTATGTCTATTGGACTTTCCACCAGGCTGTCAAGAGGCGCGTCCACAGTGGGGTGCGAAGAGACGACTCCCTTCAGCAGCTTCTTGATTCTGGAGAGAGTTTCCAATGTATTGTCGGGGTGAATTATACCTAATATCGTGGTGTGTAAACAATGCCTGCTGACCATTTGCCATAGTTTATGATGGGCCTTCCTATCGCTGGGGCGCGATCAACGGGAACGATTGGTATGCTATAGAACCTCGAAACATGTCACATTTCTCTACGTTCCGTCTCCTACCACAACACGATTTCGTTGGCAGATAGCAGCAGTCTAATCTTCCTCCCAATTTCAGGCACGTGGCTTCTCCTGTACCTGGCGTCTGAACCAAGCTGGTCCAGAGCAGTACACAACGAGATCAAAGACCTCACAACGACCTACAGAGACTTTTCATCCTTGTCGAAGGAAGATATAATGGGGTCAATATCAGCCATTCCCCTTGCAGCATGGGAATCGCAAACCCCGCAGCTGGATCTCTGCATTCGCGAAACACTCCGACGAGCTCAGCCACATACGGCGGTACGGCGCAACATTGGACCTGACCTGTCCATTGGGGCTTATACAATCCCGTCCAATGCCTTCGTCCTATATCCGTTCTCCGATACGGCATTGAACCCGACCCTCTATCCAGACCCATTGCGTTGGGATCCCGGCCGCACGGTTGTCGACAATAATGCGTTTATCGGATGGGGAGGCGGTACACACTTATGCAAAGGCCAACGGCTGGCCAATTTGACCTTGAAGATTATAGTGGCCTGCACTCTGATGAGCTATAAAATTGATATTGTCAGTAAGAATGGTGATGTAGTAACTGGCGCTCCAGTTCCAGACTGGAATGACTACTTGACATGTCGGCCCCAAGGGGATTGCACTCTTCGTTTTACAAAGTGCAGGGAGTGAGGCCATCAGATGTATCAATATGATGCTACATATGTAGATAGTATACTGCACTGGGAAGATTTGGATATCTTTCCAAACCCACCAATGTTGGTGTACCACATATACCGCTGAATTAGAGTACAGATTGACTATATGAGAAAGTGTACTTTCATTAGATATAATAGAAGCATTTTTTGAGACGTGATACTCTTGAATATGAAAATCTGCGATTCTAATTTTGTAAGGGATTTGCATGGGGATCTTTGTATATGTATTAAGCAGGAGTAATCTCTTATTAATATAGCTACAGGTATTCAAATACAGTTGTTGTACAGAACCTATCTACATATTTTGAGAGGAACTGCTTCTCTGACAACATCTCCAAGACTTAGCTTTTTTGGAAAGTCTCCCGAGGGTGGCTTTGGTATCTCGGACAGCGAATTCATATGGTCTGGAGAGGTTAGCACATAATAAGGCATGGAGAGATATCTTACCTCTGGTCAATTTAGATGAAGAACTGACAATTGATTCTTATCGCAAGCCAGTCTTTCAGTATCCCGGACTTGGAGACAGGGCTAAGGAAACAGCAGGCTTTACAAACTTAATAAGATTACTTCTAACGTACCCTAATCCACTGAGGTTGGTGCGCTGCATATACAACGGATTTAGGATTCCCATAATTTATATAGGATCAATTCTTGGCATAGGTATGATAGGATCTACTTATTAAAGTAGAAAGTCTATTAACTAGGTAAAGAATCAACTATAAAATACTATAGATTTGTACAGGAGTGACAAAGATAGCCTATATCTAGGAAATAGACCGATTCTTAATATATTTATATAATCGTGGTAATAGTATAATGGTTTGAAGTATCTTTGATATCACTCCAGTAGTAAGGTAACTTTTCTTATATATCATCATACATTCCGCAGAAAGGTTATAGGAAATACATACCTTTTTATTTGTGCATGCTCTTGTAAGTATATATAATCAGGAGGACATGGCTCGGTAGCAGCATCCATAACAGCCAGGCGAAATTGTTGAGTACTTCGGAATTAATAACTGCCCGAATCTCGAAATCCGAGGAAGAGAGGAGTGGCTTGGCAAAGAAGCTGATTTTTCTCCCTTCCTTGAAAATTCTCCACCTCCCCAGGCTTATCGGGAAGCGATCAGCTCGTGTTTTAATTTGCGTGCGTGCAAGCGTGCAATTTTCCTGCATCTCATTCGGCGCGGATCGGGTGGAGTTGGGGTGGGGAGAAACGATGATCATGACTTGAAGAGAGCGTTTTGGAGGGGATCGGATTAAGTCCGCAAAAGAAAGATGAAGGCTTCTTGTTCTTCTTCCGTCTCTCTTTCTCTTCATTCTCACCAATGCAGACTGGTCAGATGCCAATTTCCCTTGTTGTGCTGCAATTTGAACTTCCTCAGCACCGCCATTCAGGGTGAAGCGAGGGCCGAACGGGAGCGGTCCGAACTGTCTCAAGCCAATCTTTCTTCAAGATTGATTCCACTCCCCACTAGAATTAGCAAGATTAAGCGGGGACCATTTCCTGGTCCCTGGTTCGGCAGCCCGACTCTCTTCTTCGTCCTCAGGATTACGGTGTGGCGCTTTGGACTCGTCGGGGCCCTGTGTAACGAGTCATCCAACAGATAGCACTGCGTCCGATTTTCAATCCATCATTTGAATCATCCCATCCAAGACTACCCCCATGGTTTTCAAAACAGCTGCAACTCTGTAGGAGCGAGAGAATGACCTCGGGCTTTGAAAGAAAACCATAAAATGAGCCAGCAAACGGTCCACTCTCCCAAGAACTCACAGACCTCTCTCTCCAAAGCCAAACGAAAAGATGCGGAGACTCGCGGAGAAATTAGTTGCTGCCAAGACCGCCGGCCAGAAACCCCATTCCAACAATCTCCGAACCAGGCTTCCGAAAGATGTCGGAGATACTACACAGATAATGAGTCTCGGCGGCGGTTAGGCCGGAGACAGTATAGTCGTGGCGTCCTGTATGCCAAGCCTAATCCTTTCGGAGACCAGCCATAAGCATGACAGATGAGGCTTCACTCGTGTTGGCGTGAAATACTTCAGGGAGGAAGCGATACATCCACGTCGGACTTTCCCCTTCCACTCAGTGTCGTATGTTTTGATATCAACTGACAGCACGTTAAGTCCAAAACCACAGCGGTACCCTGTGAGTGATGTCTTCGCCCTGAATACGTGTAGAGGTTTCTATAGGTGCCATCCCTCTTCTCCCAATCTATCTCCGGCGATGATGCGGACTTCTCCTCTCAATATTTCTTGGCAGGATCGCAGGATCCAACCATGGTCTGCCCTGGGTGGAGTAGGCAATGCTAATCCCTCAACGCTGAGGCGTGGAAGGTGATGTCCAAGGCTCCAAGCGGTGCTGCTAAGCATGTCCATCCCGTCTGGGCCGTGGAGTGATCGGCATATGTAGCCGAAGGCCAATAACAGGAGCCCAACTTCGTCAAAATCATCAGCGACAGTACCTACCTCATTGGGAAGGCTATTGCGAAGCCCGAGGTCTTCTTCCGAACAAGCACCAGAGCCTATCGATCAATGCTCTCGCAACGAGACGCTCCACAACAGCGTGAAGCTTAAGTAGGGCCATGCCCATCTGCAAAATCTCCGGATGTTGTGGTTCCTGCATCACTGAGTTCGCAGCCGCCAGGTTGGCACCGCATCAAGATGCGTCTTTCTTCTCTTCTCTTCTTTCCTCTCTTGAGTGGGCTGGCCACAGCGGCATCATGTCCATACGCCAATATGGCGCGCTCGGATGAGCAGCCCTCAACCCTGGCAGCCCGCGGCACCACTGTTGCCGGGAAGAAGGGGGCGATGCTAATGAATCGCATTGCACCGGGCATCTCGGAGCTCTATGTCGCCAATGCGGATGGCTCTAACCCCCGCCGACTGCTGGGCAATGAGAGTACCTTTGACTACCATGCGCAGTGGTCTCCAGACGGCGAATGGATCGTCTTCACCAGCGAGCGTGCCGGAGATGGTCAGTCGGATCTGTACCGTGTCCGTCCCGATGGCACCGACTTGCAGCCCATCGCCACAAGCCCTGCCGTGGAGGATGCCGGAGCCATCTCTCCCAATGGCAGTCTGGTGGCCTTTGCTGGCACCCTCGGGAACTACAAGAGTAACATCTGGATCCAGAATCTGGAGACTGGTGCTTTGTGGAATGTCACGAACTCCACCGAGGTCGCAGGTGATTACACCCTCCCCGATGGCCACTTCCGGCCTGCGTGGTCGCCTGATGGCGAGTGGCTGGTCTTCACCTCGGATCGCAACACTCCGTGGCGCGGGCATAACAACATCAGCGGCTGGGAGCACACACAGGAACTGTCCATCTACGCCATCCGTCCGGACGGCACCAGCTTCCGTCGAGTGTCCAACCGCACAGGTTACTGTCAGGGCTCACCCAAATTCTCGCCTGATGGCAACCGTATCGTCTTCTATGAACTCCCCATGGAGCTGACCTACTATGCGCGTGTGGCCGAATCCGCCTTCTACGATGTCAACACTGCCATCGTGTCCGTTGACTTTGCCACGGGAAGTGACCGGCAGGAGCATGCGTCGGGAGACTCTGGCGGCATTAAACTGTTCCCTCAGTATGTGAACAACCAGACCATCGGTTACCTTGTCAAGAGCCTGCTCACCAATGCCACCTACCCGGGTTCAATCAACTACACGGCCGCACAGCCCGAAGGTAGCGTGAGTGCCGCCTACCGCAACGCCTCGCTGGTGGGCTATCATCGCTCGCCCGCTTGGTCCCCCGATGGCCGCCACATGGTCTACGAGCATGTTGAGTGGGACCCTGTCCGGCCCGTAAACAAGCCGCTGTACAGCTGGAGCAAGGACTGGGAGTACCGCTTCACCGACGTGTTCCCGCAAATGTCCGCACAGGGCAAGGTGGTCTACACCTCACAGCAGACGGTGAACTCCTCGCTGGTGACCATGAACGCCGACGGCACCGGCTCGAATGACATCTTCGATGGCTCTCGCTTCCCCGTCCGCGTCAACAGCTCCAACACCAACGGCACCTTCCAGGGCTCGTGGCGCGGCGATGGCGAAGTTCTGGCCGTCGGCCTGGGTGACTGGTTCGAGTATCGCTATGCCAACCCTGGCTGGGTGTACCTGGTGGCCGCCAACGGCTCGTGGGCGCGATCCATGACCAACGGCAGCACCAACGCCGGCTTCCCCACCATCTCACCCGACGGCCGCTGGCTAGTCTGGCGTGAGTTTGCCTATAGCGCCAGTGAGGATCCCGTCCCACTGGGACTACGCCGCATGGATTTGACGACAGGCGAAGTGGTGGCCCTCAGCTCTTCCTGGGACAACACTCCTATGTTCGCCCCCGATGGCTCCAACCGTATTGTCTTCACTCGTCGCACCAGCTGGCCCATCTCTGGACCGTTGGATGACAACTACGATGTCATGACCATGGCCGTTGACGGCAGTGATGTGAAGCAGCTGACAACCTTGGCGTGCAACGATGCTCACGCCGTCTGGACCCACGAGGGCAAGATTGCCTGGGCGACGGGCATGTTTGGCTTCCAGGATGAAGCGACCATCTACGACAACAATCAGCAACCGTACCCTTTCATCATGCAGATGGAGGCGGATGGGTCGAACTGGACAGTGCTGACGCAGAGTCGATGGGAGGACACTATGCCCTTGTATATCCCAAACGATCTTTTGGCGTCAGCCTAAAGAAAGACATCGACTGGGAGATACTCTTTCCAACATGTACATAGGTATGCAGCGCACTTGTATCTTATCTGGTAGTAGATTCATCGGACATGCTTGTTTTAGAAGAATAGATACAGAAATTCGTTGTTCTCTTATCCTTCCGTTCCCGACATCGTGCTCACTCCTTTAAATAAGCATCAAACCAACCAGCTGCCTGGGCGAAACTCTTCTCCTTGGCCACTCTCTGCTGCTTAATATCCATGTTGCAGCGAACAGCGTATCCATGCTCGACATGCGAGTATACTGTTATCTCGTAAGGATGGCCCAGCTCGGACAGGATGTCTTCGGTCTCGCGACGTTTCTCGGTGGGGAAGAGGTAATCCGACGCTATGTTAAGTCAGTTCCCATTCTTTCCGCTCCATTCTCGTTTTTGGAACTCACACGCGGCAGAAATGCTCAATGGCCCCTGAATACCTTTCAACTCATCCACCTCTACATGGGTGGGATGGGCCATATAGCCTACGTCCAACAGCCCGGGCTTGAGGTAACGAGCGACGTACTTGCCCCCATAGCAGTACCCAACCCCTCCAATGCGCTGACAGCCGAGTTCCTGGCGCATGTAGCGAAGGGTTTTATCAATTACGGGGTCTGTCACTGGCGGGAGGTGGTTCTTCAGCCAGGCCATGACGTCGAAATTCCCCTCGCGCTCGACGGGGACCGGATCGCCATGGAAAAGATCCGGCAGGACCACGAAGTAGCCATTCGCGGCAAATTGGTCGGCAATCAACTGGGAATTGACCAGTTTGGGACCGAAGATGTCGGAGAGAAACAGGATGGCATTGTGAGTTGATTTGTCGGGAGGGTAAGACACATAGGTGAGGACTATCGCAGGAGATATGTACATTAGGATGAAACCTTGAGGAAGTCAGAATGAAGCAGGGAAGCGCCTTACTGTCATCTATTTTCTTTAATTCTCCCTTGGGGGTACCACTGTGCAGATGGCCAGCAATGCAGCATTGGGCTGGAGGAAGAGAAGTCATGCTTTCAGACTTGCTGTCGCAGTCAATGTTGCCTTACAAACAAAAATAAATCGGCCGGCAGGGATATGGAAATATGAATGCTTATTTCTCTCTCCCGTCCGAGCCTTCTGGAGAGGGCTGCCATTTCCGGTGATTGCCTTCCCTGCGTGTAGTAGGGCTTTGCATCGACATGAGCTAATCCATTTTTTGAGGAAGGGGGAGTGGAAACGCCAACCGCGAGACACGGTGGCATCCCGGTTCCATCCCTGTCCGGCCATGCAACCATGGAACCTTGACGATCATTACTGGCATTCCTCGGAAGGGAAGCTGGTTTGCGGCCACGAAAACGCCTCTCCCCTTACATTCCTACTAGGGCTGAAGGGGAGAGAAAGGAGGAATTGGCACGGAAGCGGTCTGAAGCTGCTCAAGCTCCGACTATACGCCCCTTTCCTCCCTTTCTCTCTATCTCTCTCTCCCCCTAATTGCCCGTGAAGTACATACTGAGGTCAGGCCCTCCCTGTGGGCTTTTGTGCTTCACTTGCTCTGTCTAAGCACCGACACTGCAGCGGTCATGCCACACCTGTTCGCCAACTCGGCCTTTGGCAGGATCGCCTACCTCGTATCCGGTGGCCGTCTATTCAAGCCGCGCGAACTCAGCTCCGACTTCACTTTGCCTACGCCATATCGGCAGGCAGTCAACGACAGGCCAGTCCAACCATCACAAGAGAAGAAGAACACCTCGGATGCGGATGGAAGTACGTTGTTTAGCCATGCGCTACCCCCCGACGAGGCGTGCAAGGAAGTTGATGGGATCCAAGGGGAAGCCTTCCCAACACCGCCCGAATCATCGGGGCAGTCATCATCGTCGTGGATTGATCCCGAGGTGACGCCAGAGGGGACCATTGTGGTGGACTGGTACTCCCCCGATGACCCAGACAATCCACACAACTGGTCGTTCGCGGCCAAGTTGTTGGTGTATGTCGAAGTAAATCTGTTCACCTTTCTGGTCTTCATGGCCGCTGCCAACTTCGCTGCCGCCGAGGGAGAATTCGAAATTCTCTTCGGGGTAACGCAAACCGTCAGCGCCCTAGGGCTGGCACTCTATGTGCTGGGCTACGGCATGGGGCCCATGATCTGGAGTCCCATGTCTGAAGTGCCCTCCGTGGGTCGCAACCCACCGTATGTGATCTCCGTCACCATCTTTCTCATTCTCGCAATCCCCACAGCCCTAGTCAACAACGTGCCAGGGTTCCTGGTCCTGCGTTACTTGCAAGGCTTTTTCGGCTCCCCCGGACTGGCCACGGGAGGTGCATCTCTGGCAGATGTGACCTCCATCCCGAACCTCCCCTATGGTCTATATATTTGGGGAGCATGCTCCATTGCTGGTCCCGCCATAGCGCCGACAATATCGGGATTCAGTGTTCCCGTAAAGGGCTGGCACTGGTCCATGTGGGAGATCCTATGGGCAGCCGCGTTGTGCTTCGTGGCCCTGGTATGTACTCACTACTACCCTCGTGGCGATTGATGGCCGTAGTTGGCATTAACGGACATGTCTTGTGCTGACTATCGTCGCCTTTCCCTTTTTCTTGCCAAAACTAGCTCTTTCTCCCGGAAACATCTGCACCTGCCATCTTACACTTGCGAGCCAAGCGGTTGCGCCAGCTAACGGGCAACACGGCCATCCGGTCGCGGTCGGAGATTGAGTCGCAGAACGCCAGCCCCATGCAGGTTGCCTACGATGCACTAGTTATTCCATGGAAAGTTAACGCACTAGATCCGTCCGTGCTCTTCACGACAGTCTACATTGGGCTAGTGTACGCCATCTTCTACTCCTACTTCGAGGTGCTGCCGCTAGTATACCTGGACATCTACCAGATGAGCCTGGGCGAGCTGGGGCTAATCTTCCTCGGCTGCGTGATTGGCACGCTGCTAACACTCCCCTTCTACTATGCCTTTGTGCATATCTCGCTGAACAAGGCCTTCCGGCGTGGTCAATTTCCCCATCCTGAGCACCGGCTCATCCCCGCCATCGTGGGCAGTGTGTTCATCCCCGTGGGACTCTTTCTGTTCGCCTGGACCTCGCGGGCTAGCATCCATTGGATTGTACCCACCATCGGCTTGGTGATCGAGGTATCCGGCATGACGTTGGTGCTACAGTGTATTTTCAGCTACCTGTCCGTAGCGTATCCGAAGTACAGCGCTAGTCTGTTTGCCATCAACGATCTAGCGCGCGCCAGCCTGGCCTTTGCGGCCATCCTGTGGTCTGGCCCGCTGTATGCTCGACTTGGAGTAGCACGGGGCACGACCCTGCTGGCTGGTCTGACAGTAGGCTGCATTGTGGGAGTGCTGGTGCTCTACTGGTTTGGACCGGCATTGCGAAGTCGCAGTCGGTTTGCAACTTAGCCGAATTGCCCAGAAGAGTAGCCTTTGCGGTGAACCATTTCAGTTACACAACGCGTCACGTTCCCCAGAACATTCATGATAATAATAGAATTTCTACTCGGAAATCCATGTAAAATTAATTCTTGCTTCATCTTTCAGAACGAATGGAAACACTACATGGAGTAAAGATATAATGACCCCTTTATCCATGCTGATCGTCATTGCATCATGTGTTCTAGTGCTAGGACATGAGCTAGGGTCATCGTCCTATGGAGAGCCATCCTAAAAAAATTTTGTTATGCTGTTGTTCTCTGTAGACGTCGTCGCAGTCGTAGCAGAACTCCTGGGCAGTCGGTAACATGTATTCTTCTCTAATGGGATCCCTTTAATTAGTTACTGCTATGCAGAACTAACGTTCCAAAGATAAAATTTTTCGTTCTGCGCGCTTGAATTGTTCATGGAATATTGGTTGAATTGAGAATACGACATTCAAGAAGTCTATCTGACAAGAAAGGATGATTGCGCTTCACCACAACCTCAGCCTTCACTTAACAAGAACATGTATCAGAGCCTCTCACAGGCTTTAAAAGCTTGTTGGGCATTTAATAAAGACGTAATATAAGAATGATATTGCTCTTTCCGTCAGTCGACAAGTCAATCGGATTATATATTTTGGAGTATCGGTATATATACTTTGGGGTCCTACAGCATGGCAATTCTAGTCCTGTCAAGAGAAATACTTATCTATAAACTGGATCTTAACACTCTTTTCTCCTTCCCACAGAGATCAAGATAAATGAATTGATATCTTCATACTTCTTACACTATTATTATATCAGATATGTTTTACCACTGCACAGACACTCAGGAAATTTAATTTTAGATATCTATTAAGTCGGCCTGGTAAGTACCGCTAACGAAAAAAGGATCTGCATCTCACACATGTGAATATACACTATTAAGAGTACTACCTATCAATCACTATAGCCAGTGGGTACCTTTTATCCGCAGACAGGTTTTAAGTAGACGGTAGACTATGCTTATGGCCGAATACTGTTACTCTTCGTCTTTCACAAGTCTCTTTCTCAATTCATTTAGTAGCTCACATCATCAAGTCCGGTTCAGCGTATACTGCCGTCTAAGGTGTGAACCATAGAACTATTCCAATAGTTTTGCTCCCTTGCATCCCCCTTGCTTCGAAATCATACCAATAGGGAAATATGGATCTATTACCCTGCCACAAAAAAAATCAAACTAAATAAATCGAGAGGGCGGAATAATGAAAGAATGATAAATGGAATGAATGAAGAAAGGAACCAAAAAAAAAAAAATAATAATAATAATTCTACTAGGACAGATCAGATAAAATATAAAGATCGATGTTCAATTGCCTTATGATCCTTTCAATTAAAGTTAAAGAAACTATATAGTTTCACCGCGACAACAGATCCAACGCGTGGACGCGCGGCTGGTACCCGTACAATGGATTGCAAGCCCATTTCCAGCACCACACAGGGGCATAGGTGAAGGCAATCCGGCGTGCCAGTGGCCCCAGCCCGTACGGAAGGCGTCCTGTATGCACCTGTGCGAAGATGCTGGAATAGTACACGAGGTTGCGTGCCCGTGGCTCTCGGCTTTTGCGGAATTCCTGCAGCAAGTCGTGCAGCACCTGCGGATCGCCCGACTGGCCGGCAAAGTAGGTGTGCAGCAGGTTGGCCAATTCTCCCACGTCCTCAATTGCCTGGCAAGCGCCCTGCAGCGGAAAAAATCTGATTAGCCGTGTTTCTCTTCCCCCTTCCCCCTGGCGGAAGGATTGTCTCGGAGAAATGGGGTTTTACCTGACCAATGAAGGATGTCATGGAGTGCGCCGCTGAGCAAGACAATGTCGAGTTAGTCTCCGATCCATTCATAATTTTTTGCTTTTATCTTTCGAGGATCAGATTGGCTCCTTACAGTCTCCCACCAGGGCCACGCGGCCATGCGCCATCTTCGGAAAGGCGGTTTCCTCAAACACATCACTCGCCGTCACGCGTTCCGCCACATCGACCACTGCAGATGAGAGTGAGTCAGTCAGCCACTCAGTCACTCGGTCCACTAGGAAAATGTGAAAGGGGAAAGAGTGGGTGGGAGGTAGGAGGGGGAAGAAAAGAAACAAGTGAGACATGCCATCGCGTACGGTGTGATTCTTGCCAAACGGATGGAAGCGGTGTCCGTAGCTTTCGTTGATCATTTCCTTAGTGGCACCTTTCCAAGTGGACCGTGTGGTGGTCTTGGCTTCGGAGGGCTAATCCAGCAATTACAATTCATTAGTCTGGAGTCTACTGGTGACAGCTGAGACAGGGGTAGGTGGGAAGAGGAGGAGGGGGAGGAGGTAAGGGAGTGACGGACCTTGACCCCGACAAACCATTGGCGATTTTCGGTACATGGCCAAGAGGTGAGAATGCAGTCATCGTAGAAAACCCAGGTTGCCACCCCGAGATCGTTAGGTCCGAGATGCTCTAGCGGATAGGAGATGCCCGTCATGTGGGTGCGCCCGGTGAACCGGATGGTGTTGACGCCTGCCAGCCCTTGCTTGTCGGCAAGGAGCCGCCGTACGATCGACCGAATGCCATCGGCGCCCACGAGCACCTCACCGCTGAACTCGCGGCCATCTGCCAGGCGGATCTTGACCGTCGGAGAGTTGGGCTCATCCTCAATGCCAACAACCTCAGCTCCCAGAATGACGTGCTCCGGATCCACCCGGTGGTACAAGGCGCGGTGCATGCTGTGCCGGGGCATCGAGTACATTGAATAGCCATATGTTGGCTCGAGCCATTCAAAGTCAAGTAGACTCCATCGGGTAGTGTTGCGATAGACTTGAATCTTTCGCAGCGGCTGGCCTTCCTTCCGGATAATGTCCATGAAGCCAAGTTGGTCGAGCAACCGGAGAGCATTCGGGGCCAGCGAGATGCCTGCACCCACGGGGGTCACCTCGGCAGTACGCTCGAACACCTTGTAGCTGAGCCCAATTTTCTTACAGATGTTGGCCAGCGTCAGCCCGGCAATGCCGCCACCGACGATTAGGACCTGGACATCGGCCTTAGGAGCCATTGTGCGATGACACCCTAATGGGAGAGAGATAGAAATCCAAAGGGAATAGAAAAGATAACCGAGGAAATACGGCGAAGCAAAGAAAAGGGATAGAGAAAGTGGTAGTGAGAGAGCCCAGATGATAAGCCAAGGGAAGAAGATTAACAACCGCTTGATTGGACTGTTGGTGAAGATGGAGTTTGGGTTTTGTTCATCGCAATCTGCTGGTACTTCTTAAGTATCACACACAATGCCCTTACAAGTTTAGCAGGTTTGTATTGTTTCCAGTTCTTGTAGATTTTGCAATGCGGCGGCAAATCAGGTGCAGATGGCCGCAGCGCCCAGAGACGACCCTCTTTCGAGTGTCTTTCCGAGTTCCTTATCTTCGTTGTTCGCATGCAGACCTAGTTCTGCCACTCTTTGCAGGATATGGTGAACAATGGTGATCCGCACTGTAACACCCAGAAAGGGTAAATACATGTCCTTCAACTCTCGTGCCTTGCATCTGTCGACTCGAAAAGGACAACCGAAGATACGGCTAAACAGACTCCAAACTAGCGGTGGCCGGTGCGGCCTAACCAAGGTTCGCTTGACATTCTTTCATCAAAATAAGCTCTAAACCCTCTGGTATACCAACATGAGTGTAGTAAGGGTCTTTACTATCGTCATCCCTTACTATAACAATCGTGTCAATGAGAAGTGCTCTGTTCCTCATTCTGTTGTGGCCTAGGAGCACCAGCACCAGCACCAGCGTCGAGTGCAAGTGCAGGGGCCTTACAAGACATTTTAACGTAGGGATAAATACATTGACAGGTACCAGATAAAATCGATTACTTAACTAGGTAAAGGAACTACTGAAAATAAGGAACTACTGAAAATGAAGCACATATCACCATAGCATCCAATCTGCCGCTTTCCCCTTCCCCTCCCACACAACGCCAACTCGTTCACATGGACGCAGGTTTCCGAGGCGTGAGGCGAATGCGCGCATCGCCTTGAAGCCAAGGACTGCCGACTTTGCTAAAGTCCATACGAGAGACATCGATTTTGGCCGGCCCCTGGCTTCCCCATTGGAAATCGTAGTTCTTGACCAGACGCGACACCAGTTCACGCGCGATTATGCCTGCCATATTTTCCCCAGGGCACCGATGGGAGCCTGCGCCAAATTGCAGGAATGCCGCGTCGGTGGCGTTGTTTAGGTTCTGCAGGCGCGCCGTTGGGTGCAGCCAGCGCTCCGGCAGCCACTGCTGCGGCTGCTCATAGATCTCGGGGTCATGGTGGGTGAGATAGGGCGAGGTACACACCACCCAGTTCTCGGGAACCATATAGCCATCCTCCAGCTGCACAGGGCGATGGGTCGTACGCCACATGTGCACACCCGAGTAGTGACGGCCACTCTCCTTGACGCATGCCAGTAGTACAGGAGACTGGTGAACGTCCTCATTACTTTGAAAAGACTGCCGGATGGCCTCCACGTACTCTGGGTTCCGAATCAGCTGCAAATACTGTCAGCTTGGTGATACTTATGGGCTGGAAAAGAGTTGTAATAGCAGGCATTGAGTAAACAGACCTCCAGAGCAGTCCAGGCTATGCTGGCCACAGTGCTCGTGTGGGCGGCAAACATGAGCACTGTATGGTGGGACGGGTAGAATTCTTGCAGATGGGCCGTTCGCGGATCTTCCAGTGTATAGGTGATATAGTCCAGCGAACCCTTCCATTTTTCAGGGTTCTGGCGGCGGATCTCCATCTGCTGGGCGAAGATCTCAGCGAAACGATCTCTGGCCTTGCCCAGTCGTCGTGCTGGCGGGTGAGGAAACCAGTCCGGCAGTAAAAGATTCAGTGGGTGGCCGATCTCGTCCTCCATCCGGTGCACAAGATCGTAGAGCTCGTCTACGTGTTCATCGTAGAAGTCTTGTCCCATGAGAGTCCGCACAATCACCCGATGCACATACTTGGACGCCTCTTCGAAGACTTTGATGTCCGATTGCTGGCTCCATTTCAGCAGCGCCTTATCCGCCTCTTCGCCTGCAAGCTCGGTGTAACGATCCAGTGTCACCTTGCGATTGATACCACGATTTAGAGAGCCCACCAGATTGCGGAAATGGTCAAAATACCCAGGAATGGCAATTTTCTTCAAGAAGATGCCCTGTGGAACGTCAGAAGGGTGTTCTTCTCTTTACAGTAGGAAAAAGGAGGGGAGGGAAATAATGCCTACAATACCGCCACCAAAAGACCAAATGTCTTCCTTGACATCCACGTACATGCGATTGAGCTGGGTACCTCTCAGATAGACAATGTTCGCAAACAGTATCTTGACATGGAAAATGGGGCCACACTTGCGTGTCGCATCTTGCACGAAGGCGACGGGGCGATTCAGAAAGGCTAATGCGTCGCCAACTAAAGGATATCCCAGTCTGGGTGATGGGAAGGCCTTCGAGCCTCCAGATCGGCGCAACTGGAAGACCACCAGCAAGAATAAGAGGGCTGATGCCACGACCATGGGCTGCGCGAGCAATTGCTCGTCGTCGGCCAAGCGGGCCTGTATAGCATCAATCATGCTCTCCATCACTGGTAATCAGCAGTTAGACAGATTCTGAGATGAAATCGAGGGTAGAGGCAAGAGGTAGACAATCTATGTCCAGGATTGCTCATCTGGTTCCTACCCAAGACATAAAAGCCCTGCGGGCCTCCGCTTGGTCTGAGGTGAGCCGGTTGCGCCGCAGGAAATGTCCGCGGAGTCAGGGCACCACCCAAGACAGGAAGTTCGAGACCGAGGATCTGCAAAGTTTGGCTGCAAGAAGCAAACCCACCCAGTTTCTGTATTTCGGAGGGGGGATATCAAAAGTCTGGTGCGGGGAAGACCATACAGGCCACCATCCATATCGTTCGACGATGGTAGTGGCTGCAGGAATTTCCACCGCAATTTGGGCTCAAGGGCTGGCACCCAACACCACGCATGATGGTAGCGGTGGGTATTTTCCAACCTGGCCTATGTCCTTAGAGGGAAAAGGCAAAGAAAGCCCCTACATATGCACATTCCCCCGAAGCAGGTGCAGAAGAAAGTCCCGTTGACCTGAAGTAGGTGCCGCTGGAGATCGACAACTTACCTCCTCGCAGCTCGGAATGCTCACTCGGCCCGACAGAGATGGCAGATCACCTTCTTGGCTGAATTCGCTGCAGCACCAAGCCAACTACCTGGGAGTCGCCAAGATCTAGATTGGCTCATCTGATGCTTCTACACCTGTGCCAGCTCGACCAGAAGCGCTTACCCTGCTAGATTCATAGTTCCGATGACGCCCTGCGCCTTCCAGCCCTTGCACCCGCACCGCCCGCTCAGGTTCGCCTGGATATCACCTGACTACACTAGTACTGGTTGTCGAAAGCATCGTACGCGGTCCCAATAAGGTTCCTATCGACATTGAAACGTCGGAGTCAGGCTTTGTCTGTTATTGAGGTCCTCTGGGGAAAGCATTGATGGTCACTCTTTTAGTCATGTGTATAGCTTCATGTTTCCGGAGTGGGCAAGCGGTAGAAAGCTGGAGTGGGCGGTCAGATTTTCCGTTTGCTAACAAACTTTATCGAAAGTTGCCTGTGGGGACCTTTTGCAGCCCACGAGTCTTTAGTCACCTTCCTTCCATGCAGGGCTTTCCCAGGCTATTTTTATGATCAATACCATTTTGGCACTGTTCTTAAAATCTCCACAGAAAGTTGCCTGCTATTATCAAAGAATGCTACATTTACCTGTGAACCAATCATTGGTCACACAGTCTACATTCGACATTGTGTTGCTAGCAATGTTGTTTCACGGGGGTTAGAGTCCTTCTTAGTAGATCCAACCCTGATTAAGTGAGTGTCATGCAGTATCCGAGGTGATGCAGAGCTGCAACAATGAAATAGGCGAAAAATCAGAGGCACCCAAAGCAAGGGTGTCTGGGGATGAAGAACAACACTGGAACAATGGAGACATGGGCTGAGTGCTTGAAGATCGTCTCCTCACTGCACCAGATCAGGCACCGGAATAATAGAGTATATCCGCCCCGTACTCCGCGCTGGATCCCGTCGAAGAAAGAACTTTGCCCAGTTGCTTCTCTTCTGATTCCTGTTCTAACCCATTCTCGTGAACCAATATCAATTACCCCACGGCAGCTTGATAACAACGAGGCTAAGCTCATTAGACCAATATTTCGCCATCATGCATTCGATCACTCCCTCGGAAGTCATTAAACTGCGCCAACTGCTGGCGGGGACCGATGCTGCCGTTCTCACCGAGGGCGAACCCGGATACGCTGAGGGAATTAGGCGCTGGAGTGACACATGCGAAAAGAAAGCTGTCAGTGATCCCTGGGGAAGAAACACTCTGATGAGGTTATGCTGACTGTGAATTCTTATAGGGTGCTGTAGTTCTTCCCACTACAGCAGAGGAGGTCTCAGCGGCCGTAGTCTTTGCAAGTAACCATCAGATTCCCATGGTGGTTCATAATGGTGGTCACTCTACCAGCGGCGCCTCCGCAACGGAGGGGGGCATCGTCATCAGCATGACCAAAATGCGCCGCGTCGTGGTAGATCCCGAACGCAAAACCATCACGGCCCAGGGAGGCACCGTGTGGGAGGATATCGACCGTGCGGCGGCTCCCTACAAGCTGGCCACGGTCGGCGGCACCGTCAACCATACGGGTGTTGGTGGGCTTACTTTGGGAGGAGGTTATGGTTGGTTGACAGGCCGCTATGGGTTGACCATTGACAATTTGCTGGGAGCCACTGTCGTGGTGGCGGATGGTCGCATCCTGAAGACCTCCGAGACGGAGAATCCGGATCTGTTCTGGGCCATTCGCGGCGCTGGTCAGAACTTTGGTGTCACCACCGAGTTTATCTTCCAAGCCTATGATCAGACGAACGAAGTGTATGCTGGCCTGCTGAGCTGGCCGGCGCAGTGCCTGCCCCAGATCATTGAGTTTGTCAACCACTTCGAAGATGACACCAACAAAGGGGATATGGGCATCTTCTTTGGTTTCTGCGGTGCTATGCCCCCTGGCCGGGTGAGCATCGTGGCGGCCATCTTCTACAATGGACCCCAGGACGAGGCCGAGCGGCAATTTGACCCCATCCTTAAACTTGGACCCACCATCAACACTGCGAAAATGATGCCCTATGAGCATTTGAACAGCATCCAGAACCCCATCGCCACGTATGGGGGTCGCAAGTCGTTCAGCGGGGCCTTTGTCAAGCTGCCTCTGCAGGTCGAGTTCTTCCAGGAACTACTGGAGGACTACGGGACGATGATCAAGACCTATGATGGGGTCAGTGCCACCGCCGTTCTCTTCGAGTTGGTTTCGCACAAGAAGGCCATTCAGGTGCCCAAGGATACTATGTCTTACTCGACCCGGGGTCCTTGGTACAATGTTGGTTGTGCGTTCCGTTGGGAAGACCCCAGCCTGGACAAGATAATGCGCGAGACACAACGCGCCCTGATGCGGAAGGTTGGAGATCGCGCCGGTGGGGGTGCCCATGCCCGAGCATATGCCAATTACTCGCACAGTGACGGCCGAGCGAAAGATGTGTATGGGGACAATCTGCCCCGGCTGCAGAAGTTGAAGAAGCAGTACGACCCCAAGAATGTGTTCAAGAAGTGGTTGAACCTGCTTCCTGAGGAAGATGTTCAGATTTAGTCAGATATCAGTTGGATGCGATAAATGTGGATCTGATTCATGACCTTAGTTTACTTTAGTATGTAAGATGACAAACCAGTAATCCTCATACATGGGCTACACACCATGGCAGAACAACCGCCTTTGTCCCCCACCCCCTGAGGGTTCTTTGCTTTCACGTCTTTAGTTGAAGGGTTTACAGTATTCAGGATAGTAAAGTCGGACGAGAAATGAGTCTTCTTAGGACTGCCTACTCAGCTTGATGCATTGATTCTATATTCGCCCTACCGGGAAACAGCCAAGAACTTCACTCAGGCTCGGCTTCCCTCAAGTTACGGCTTTGCGTGATCGGACAAGATATAGACAGATCCCTTCTTTCAGCACTACCATGCCGACATCGTACATACTTTGGGCTGATACAGGATGGCTTTGTCCGCCACATGCCGCCGATGCAGCAAGGTCGGATTCCGATGGTGGCTCCCACGAGTCCCTTGCCTGCCGGGAGGTCGTCGGGAGTTTAACCTGCCTGCTTTGCTCGTCCGGCTCCCGTAAGGGGGGGTCGGTCAAGCCTCCTACGTCGAACACTTTCGAACCTTGGGGGTATATGCCAGACGCATGCTGGACAAATAGAATAAAGATATCCAGCTGTTGTTCAGTTATCAGACTTGGCCAGCATCCCATGCCGGAGGAGAGGGCGAAGGGGCTGACTAGTGTGGCCCCAAGTGACCCAAGCATCCCGCGGAGAATCGTGCAGTCTTTCGGTCTAGAAGAGTAACTGCAGAACCTCCTGAGACAGTCATGGATCGGCCAGCCAAGTTACTGAGGACGAAGCTCGCAGATTGCAGAGAACAGCAGATACCACCCGGCGGTGGGAAAGGGGGAGGGGTGTGGGTGGAACTACGTGTGGACAGCCCGAGTAGCAGCAGCAGCAATATCTGAATCTGGAATATCAATTGCTACCCTTATTCACCTCCATCTCCGTCGTGACTTTAAAACTCTCTGTCTTTCCCGCTTTCGCTCATTCAATACGTAGAATATATTTTCATGCCTCTCGACTGGACCGTTCCCTTTTCCGCCTTCTTGCCCTAATATTGATTATAATTACTTTTCCTTCCCTCTCGACCCTTCTATCCGCGCCTGGAAAGCCATGGCTGGAGATTTAAGAGGGAGACGAACTTCCCAAGAGCCAGAGGTCTCTACGAAGGAGTCATCGCCGGGCTTTTCTCCTTTTGAGTCAGCGTCCTCGGTTACCTCCATCGATGGTCCCAATCCGGCTGTCCTGGTAGGCTATGCCTGCCGTGTTGCAGGTGCAAACCGGCCCAGCAAGCTCTGGGAGAATATCGTCCAGCAGAAGGATGTGCGATGCAAAATGCCCGCGGATCGGTTCAACGTCGACAACTTCTTTCATCCAGATGGCACCCATAAGGGCACGGTCAGTGAGAGTTCCCAATCCATACCCCTGTCGCTACGCTGTGTCCGAGCATGTTACGCTGATGAACGCACCAGACCAACGCAAAATATGGCTACTATCTCGATCAGGACCTGGGTCATTTTGATCGAAGTTTCTTCCGGATCTCAGGCAAGGAGGCCGAGGCAATGGATCCCCAACAACGACTGATCCTTGAGGTGGTTTATGAGGCATTGGAAGATGCCGGAATTACCTTGGAAGAAATCAACGGCTCACGCACTTCTGTGCTATGCGGGTCCTTTACTAATGACTATAATGCGATGCTGACCAAAGATCTCGAACACTATCCGAGTTACACCGTGACCGGCACGGGCAATGCTATCCTGTCGAATCGTGTCTCCTACGTCTTCAATCTGCAGGGAATGAGTCTCACCATTGATACTGCCTGCTCCTCGTCCCTGGTGGCCTTTCATCTGGGAGCACAGTCTGTCCAAAGTGGGGATTGCGATACATCCATTATTGTGGGCTCAGCCCTCCATTTTGACCCAAACATCTTTATCACAATGACAGACTTAGGCATGCTCTCCGAGGAAGGCCGTAGCCGTGCCTTTGCCGCTGGTGTCAAGGGCTACGCGCGGGGTGACGGTGTCTGCGCAGTCATACTACGCGGACAGCGACAGGCGGAGCTGCATGGCGATGATATTCGAGCGGTCGTTCGAGCGACCGGATCCAATCATGACGGGACAAAACAGGGCATTACCCTTCCTTCCGCCGCGGGACAAGAGGAGCTCATCAGGAAGACATACCAATCGGCAGGCTTGGACCCGGCTGACACCACTTACGTAGAGGCCCATGGAACGGGAACTGGTCGCGGAGATCCCCTGGAAACGGAAGCCTTGGGGACCGTGTTTGGCTCCAAGCGACGCAAGCAGCCACTATATGTGGGCTCGATTAAGAGCAACATCGGTCATACAGAGGGGGCCTCTGGGCTGGCCGGCATTATCAAGGCCACCATGGCCCTGGAGAAGGGCCAGATTCCCCCCAACATGCATTTCAAGGTTCCCAACCCCGACATCAAGTTTGACGAATGGCAGATCCAGGTTCCCACTCAGCTGGTTGAATTTCCCCTCAACGCACACGGTCACCGGCGCGTCAGCATCAACTCTTTCGGCTATGGTGGTGCCAATGCACATGTCGTACTCGAGGATTACCGGCCTCACACCATCCAGGAACGACCGCCTATAGCTATCCCAGCCGCCTTCGAGGCGGCGGCGCACGAGCGCCCGTTCCTTGTGCCTTTGACCTCCCATACGGATAAAGCTGGGAACCTCTGGACCGAGAAGCTCGTGGAGTATCTGGACAAACACGAGGGCTGCGATATAGCCGACTTGGCCCTAAGTCTGTCCACCTCCCGCTCGATGCACGCCCAGCGGTCTTATGCCATCGGAAAGAATGTCACCTCCATCAAGGATAGCTTGCGCAAAGTGCCGGCCTGGACCAAAGCCAACAAGCAGTCCCCACGACTGGGGTTCGTCTTCACGGGTCAGGGTGCGCAGTGGTACGCCATGGGTCGCCAGCTAATGCAGGAATCTCCAATCTTCCTTCAGACCCTGCAACGGACGGACCAGGTGCTCAAAGCGCTTCCCGATGGACCCCAGTGGTCGGTTGTGGAAGAGCTCTCCCGGACCAAGGAGGACTCCCAACTCAGTCAGACTCACCTGTCACAGCCCATTTGCACCGCTTTACAACTGGCCATTCTCGAGCTTCTCAAGAGTTGGGGTGTCGAGCCCACCGCCGTTGTCGGACACTCGTCCGGCGAGATGGGCGCCGCTTATGCAGCAGGAATTCTCTCCTTCGAAAGCGCCATGTACGCCGCGTACTACAGGGGGCTCCACATGTCCAGTGGCGCTGCACAGGCCGGTCCAGATGCTGTTCCTGGAGCCATGATGGCCGTTGGTCTGGGTGAGACAGAGGCCCTGGCTGAGTTAGAGGCCTACAAGGGCAGAGCTGTCATTGCCGCCGTGAACAGCCCGTCCAGTGTCACCTTGTCCGGCGATGAGGATGCCATTATCGAAGTCCAGAAGAACCTGGAAGCCCGCAAAATCTTCGCCCGCCGCTTGCAGGTCGCGCAGGCCTTCCATTCTCACCACATGTTCCCTCTGGCCCCAGCCTACGCCAAGGCACTGAATGACTGCCCGGGCTTCTCGTCGCAGCCCTCCGATAAGGCCCGCATGTTCTCCAGTGTGACGGCGCGCGTAGCCGATGCCGATCAGATGGGAGCGGAGTACTGGACGTCCAACATGACAGGGACCGTGCGCTTTTCTGATGCCCTGGTGGGTATTCTGTTGGATGACTCGGAGAATCAGAATGTGGATGTGCTGGTGGAAATCGGACCCCATCCAGCCCTCAAGGGGCCGGCCCGGCAGGTGATGAAGAGTCTGAACATGGACCTGCCCTATTTCGCTTCCCTCACGCGTGGCACTCCCGACTACGACGGCATCCTTGGGCTCGCCGGGCAACTCTTCCAGGTTGGCTATCCAGTGGACTTGCCAGCTGTCAACAGCGATGCCTACCTGTCCGAGTCGGGTCTTATCGGCATCTCGCCTCGAGGCCGTCGCCTGAAGGACCTCCCCAGCTATGCCTGGGATCACTCCGAGCGCTACTGGGCAGAAACCCGATTGATCCACAACCACCGACTGCGCACACATCGCCACAGTCTGCTGGGTCATCAGATGGCCGGCTCCATCGACAACCACGTGCGGTGGCGCAACTATCTGCGTCTGCGCGAGCTGCCGTGGCTGGCAGATCATGTCATCGACGGCAAGGTGCTCTTCCCGGCGGCAGGCTACATGAGTCTGGCCTTCGAGGCTGTGGCGCGCACCCGCGGAGGCATTCAGCCGGCGCAAGGGTTTGCCTTGCGCAACGTGTCCATCAAGGCGGCGTTGGTGCTCGACGACTCGGACATGGGCACGGAATTGATCGTGGACCTGCAACCCCAGGTCACCTCCGCCATGTCACGGTCCGATACTTGGTACGAGTTCAAGATATTCTCTTATGACAGCCAGTACAACTGTACGGAGCATTGCTCGGGACTGGTGGCCGTCGACCAACCGTCCACTATCCTCGCCGCCCCCGATCGCGACCAGCGCCTGAAAATCAGCACAGCCTCTGCGCCTGTCAGTCGCTATTATCGCCATCTCAGCGACATCGGCCTGCAGTATGGGGATGAGTTCCGCTTGTTGACCGGCAGCATCGAATCCGGGCCCGGCTTTGCCTGCGCCAGCCTCACTTTCAGTCCGGATCAATATGCGCAGCAACCAGCGGATGTGACTTTTGTGCATCCCACGATGCTGGATGCTACCTTCCACACTATCTTCCCGGCTCTGGAGCAAGTGCTGGGTCATGACCTGGATTCCGCCTTTATTCCTACCTTCGTGGAGAGCTGCCACATCTACCCGACCATGCTGACCCTTAAGGATGCTGTCGGGCCGCAGGAGGTGTGGGTGGACACCGCAACGCAGCAGTCGGGCTTCCGCGCGGCCATCAGCCAGCTGCACGTCGAGATGGCGGCCACTGGCCAGCCACTTCTGGCCTTCTCAGGCCTGCGGGTGAC